GGCTGGGGGTGGGGGTCGGGTCCAAAAATCGTTCTCTAGGAATCCTTATACTCAACACCTTAATAATATTTGTAGTTTTGGTTACACTTTCTTTCTTCACAATTTTAATTAATTTGGGAAGTTGACCAATTAAACCTTTACATTACGTTTGTAATGTTCTAAGTATTACATTACTACAATTACAAATGTTGGTTTAGGGTTTAAAAGACTTGGTAAATTTCTGCGCTCTGTCCTAGTATACGATTTTTGGACAGCGGCAAGAACATGCTGTTGGGTCGGGCGTTGCGGCCACATGAACATGTATATCAATATGTTCCATGTGAGATGATGAAAAATTTATAGGATTATCTAGGAAATTACCTACCCCAACCCCCAAATCCTATAAATTTTTCATCATCTCACATGGAACATATTGATATACATGTTCATGTGGCCGCAACGCCCGACCCAACAGCATGTTCTTGCCGCTGCGCTTGGCCTTCCTAGCCACATTGCTCGGCCCAGAAATTGTCTGACCCTAACCTTGCTCTAAAATAATACTAAATAGGCAAAAATAAGTTTGCTGAAAATTGTTGGTCATATACAAAGTTAAAAGGAGAGGGGGTCGGGGGCTAAATAATCTTCAGTAGGTCAGACCTTAGATTTTTATCATTTATGAATTTTAGGACGTGGTGGAGCTGTTGGTGCCAAGTTTAGAATCTCCCTGGCACTTCCAGTTGGAGCAATCATTAACTGTGGAGATAATACAGGTTAGCTTAATATATGCTGGGTAGGTGTAGTAGTTTAATATATGCTGGGTAGGTGTACTAGCTCAATATATGCTGGGTAGGTGTACTAGTTCAATATATACTGGGTAGGTGTACTAGTTTAATATATGCTGGGTAGGTGTTCTAGTTCAATATATGCTGGGTAGGTGTTCTAGTTCAATATATGCTGGGTAGGTGTTCTAGTTCAATATATGCTGGGTAGGTGTTCTAGTTCAATGTATGCTGGGTAGGTGTTTAGTTCAATATATGCTGGGTAGGTGTACTTCTTCATTAAATACTTAAGAAATACTAATTATTAGTATTTTTAAGTTTGTTCTTAATAATAATGATTCAGTGCTTAGGATCCATTTAAATTTGATGCGGATCCGGATCCAGGTCATTTCTTTAAGATTTACTGAATTTTTTTAACAAAAAATTAAGTTTCAATTTTTTGTTTATTTTTTCTTATTTTTATTCCAAAACTTGATGAACCATTCAGAAATAAGGAAATTTTTATAATCTCTTTATTTTCAAAAGTTCAGAGTTTGGGTTTAAGGAGTAAAAAAGTTTTTTTTTGTAATTTTTGGTTGATATTTTACCCCTTGGATCCGGATCCGTGGATCCGCATATTTTTACGGATCAGGATCAGGATCCAGAAAGGCAAAATCTTGCGGATCCATCGGATCAGGATCCTAAGCACTGATATTTATCCATCCATCCATCCATCTATGGTTTTAAGTATGTTTTTCAAAGCTTTTTTCGTCTATTTCTGCATTATTTTTACATACAGGGTGTCCCACATCAAGTTAGACCGCGTCAATGGGTCTAAATTATGATTTGGGGGACAAATCAGAAATTTAAGAAGAATGAATCATTTAAAAAATTTAATATGGTTAATAATTTTTTTTTGTAGAAAATGCTTGATTTTTCGAGTATTATGTGCGAATTTTGGCGTTAAAGATTGGAGGAAGTCTAATATGATATGGGACGCTCTGTACATACATTTAGTTTTCTTAGTTTTTTTATTTAGAACAGCAGAAAGAATAAAATGATCGGATTTGATGCTTATATTTGAAAGTTGATCCAAACTAAATATAATATTTGTTGTTAAGGTGGAAAGAATCTGTTTATTATGGCTGTTGCTGGAATCAGAGGTCGTCTTAACAGACTTCCAGCTGCTACATGCGGAGATATGGTAAGCCGGTCAACGTTTACCTAAAAGAATGTCCCGCCAGGGGAGTATATTCTTATTAGACGTTGAATTGTTCACTCCCGCCCCCTAATATATTTTTGTCCACAACATTTTTTTTCCGGCTTTTTCGCCTAATAGATATTTTTGCTACTGAATCACTTAGCATCAATTACCTTGATTGTTATCTTTAATTTACAGTCATTTAGTAATTTTTGGGGAAATCATGTTTTTTTCTTATTTCTTAAGCAACTGGGGATAATTTTATATAAAGATATTACTATGTTTCTTCTTCTTTTAATATAGTTTTTCTTATATTAATGTTTAGGCTACAAAGTATAGAAAAGGGGAAATGACTTACTATTTCATTTTTCTTTCTTAAATCTTTAGAAATTCTTTTCTTTACATAAGTTTTTAAAATCTGTAATTTCTATTTGACGAGTAAAGGAACCTTTTTTTCCCTTTTTTCATTTCCCCCCCTTTTTTCTTGAAGTTTCTTCTCTTGGCTGAATATTACCTCCCCTCCATCCTGGGGTAAAAGTATACTCCCCTACCTATCTCCCCCCCTTTCAAGTCTCATCTTTCGTTTTTTTAAATCAAATTTATTTAACAAAAGTATATTTTCCTGAAATTCGCACGTTTTCCTATTTTGTCCCTTCCCTAGGAATTAGAATATACCCAAGTTATATTCTCCTAGACCAGAATTAATGAAAATTGATAAGTATTTCTACCTCCTGTGTTCATACAGTTCTTTTGTGCGCCGGGTCAATTAGAAGAGTGGCTCTACTCATTCTGCGTAGTTCAACTACTTATCCGAATTATTAAATCTGGTCCCTGGTCGATCAGATTTGGTAAATAAATATTACAAAATAATCGACAAATAATATTAAAAAACTGCAATATCTTTATTAGTTGGGATTTCATAATAAGACCTCTTAACCTAATCCTATTCTAGGTTCTCGCTACAGTAAAGAAAGGAAAGCCTGAGCTGAGAAAGAAGGTTATGCCTGCTGTTATCATTAGACAGAGAAAAACATTCAGGTCAGACAAAATCCATGTTATCAGTGTCATATATTAAACATTTTCTCATTTCTATTCGATTACATAGAAATTATCATTAGCAATTTGGTTGCTGAGTAATGAACAGTGTTTAGGATCCGGATCCGTTGGATCCGCAAGATTTTGGCTTCCTGCTTCCGGATCCGCAAAAATATACGGATCCGGATACAAGAGGTAAAATATCAACCAAAAACTGAAAAAAAACTTTTACTCATAAAACCCAAATCTGAACTTTTGAAAAAAAGAGAAATAATAAAAATGTCCTCGTTTCTGAATGGTTCATCCAGTTTTAGGATAAAAATGAGCGAAAAAAATAAAACAAAAAATTTTTAAATTATTTTTTGTTAAAAGATTCAGTAAATCCTAAAGAATAAAGCTGGATTATGAAAAAATAAGAATGGGGGGGGGGAATGTTGAACAAATGTTTTGAGTAATTTATATTTAATGATTTTTAAGATTTGGATTTTTGTTATTAGTAAACTCTTCTAATTTAACCAACTTAAAAACTAGAAGATTATCGGCCTTCTGCGTGGTTTATATGTACATTGTACATTTTCTATTCAAATTTAATGTCTTTTTGAGAGGATACAGTAAAAATTCAAGGACTATAATATTGAATCAAATTTGTTGATGAAAGGAAGATTGCTCTTGTTTTAAGCATTGAATCAAATGTTGAGGAGAAAGGAGTTCATAACCTTAAATTAAGTGTTCAGAATGAATGATTATAACGTTGATTTAAATGTTTAGGAGAAAGGAGAAATGCTTATTCCTAGAATTAAATGTTTAATAGAGAGGATGAATATTTAGCACCTAGAATTAAATGTTTAAGAGAAAAGATGAATGTTTATAACCTTGAATTTAATGTTAAGTAGAAAGGATGAATGTTTATAATCTCAAATTTAATGTTTAGGAGAAAGAATGAAACGTTTATAACCTTGAATTTAAGTTTTAGGAGAAAGGATTAATGTTCATAACCTTAAATTTAATGTTCAGAATGAATTTTTATTTCTAGAATTAAATGTTTAAAAGAAAGGATGAATGTTTATAACCTTGAATTTAATGTTTAGGAGAAAGGATGAATGTTTAGGAGAAAGGATGAACGTTTAGGAGAAAGGATGAATGTTTAGGAGAAAGGATGAATGTTTAGGAAAAAGGATGAAAGTTTATAACCTTGAATTTAATATTTAGAAGAAAGGATGGATGTTAATGTTTAGGAGAAAGGATGAATGTTTGTAACCTCGAATTTATTGTTTAGGAGAAAGGATGAATGTTTATAACCTTTAATTTAATATTTAGGAGAAAGGATGGAATTTAATGTTTAGGAGAAAGGATGAATGTTTGTAACCTCGAATTTATTGTTTAGGAGAAAAGATGGAACGTTTATATACTTTGAAGACAGTGCTGGGGTTATTGTAAACAATAAAGGAGAGATGAAGGGTTCAGCTATTACAGGTTAACACCTATTTGTAAATTAGAATCTTAAATCTCAGTAAAATAATTAGTTGATGGACAATATTTCTGTTTCTACATTGGGATTTATATTGATGTTGAAAATCATTACTCCCTCTAAAAAAATACTATTCTTAAGATTGCAGTCAAAACTTAAAAAAATCTCATAAAGTTTTTCTCTCAAAATGTATTGATATTTTTTATCTATTCTTTAAATCTCATCTTTATCAAGTTCGAATCAGTTGTTTCAGAAGTTCTGTAATTTAAAAGCAGTTATTTTTAATATTATTTCTGTGTTACTTTTAAAATTTGATTTTAAAAGTTCTGAAATTTCTTTGTGGCGAGTCTTTAAAAATTATTGCGAAATACCCAGAATTGTATGTTTAAAAAAAAGTTTGGAGGATTTCTTCGTTCAGTTGGGTTAAAATTGTAATCTGGCAAGCTTCTCCACCCTTAGTAAACTGATAACAGAGAAAAAGTATTTATCATTTATGTTGGTAATTTTTTCCCAAATAAAGCGAATGAAACCGAATGAAACCTAAAACATTAGTTTGCTCTCCGGAAAAACGTATTTTTCTGCCTTTTGACCCAACATTGACGGCCTATGATCCCCAGCAGAGGGAGGTTAAGTTGTTAAACGTCCCTTGTAATATGACCACCCGCTCCGCGAAGTTTCTAAACAAAATCACTTACAACAACTTTTCGGGGATTTAATGTTGCTGTATTCCCTCGACCAAATTTGGGAACCCTTGGTAAAGTAAAAGTTCCTCAATTTCACTGTAAAGAAGTTTAAAATAAGGTTAACATACGGGTTAAAATTATTTTTAAGAAGGGGGGAGGGAACGATTTCCCCACATGTTTTTCCCCGAAAATAACAAATATGAGTAATTTACGCCAACAAACATTTTATTTAAGGAGACACTACCCATACGCAACCACACTTTTTTGGGACTCGTGTTTCTTAATATTTTCGATTATTTTGATTATCTAACATGATATATTGTTTAGGTCCTGTTGCTAAGGAGTGTGCTGATCTATGGCCAAGGATTGCTTCCAACGCGAGTTCTATTGCCTAATTATCCCTCACATATCCTCCCTGTTGTTTACATTTAATAAAACAGAATTATAAAACGATAGTTTTTCATCTCTTTATACATTAGTATTAGTTTAGTACAGTGTGACCATCAAAGGACGAAAATAAGGAATTTTCAAGTCTTATCTTATTTTCTCTGCATATAGAAATTTTTTTGTATCTGCAATTTTTTTTGCAAGCTTGTCAATCATGGGAAAAATACTAAACTGAAAGTAAAAAGCCCCAACTAGATGGCTAGCTGGTAATTGCACCAGTCACACCAGCAATGTTGCATAATTTCATTCACTGTAGGTCCTGTAGGACTCGAGAGTAGGTTATTTAAAAATGCTAATTGAAATTTTTTGTGATAAGTTCTGAATGCTTTGGGAGATTTCTAGGTTGATATTCGATTAAGTTATAATTATAGAAGCCAGGGCGAATAATCAGAATGTGCTCAAACTGCTAATTCAACCATAGTATGGCTGTATGCATTGAGCATCTACTTTAAAGTATATTCTCAGAGACTACTGTCCCCCATGACTCATGAGTCGTATTGTAATAAAGGGTAAGGTTACATCGTCTATACCCAACAATCCCCCCCTACTGAACTTCTGACCTACTAACTTTCAGACCTACAGCAATATCGGACCTACGCCAGCTGTTTAATTTTGAGGGTTTGTTAAGACAATTTCTGGGCCGAGCGTTGCGGCTGACAGGCTAGGCGGCAGGGCGCTGCGGCCAAAAGTTCATATAGCAGCTGTAAAATCTTGACGTGCTAGTAGGTCGGATGTGTAGTATAGCGGATTTGGCGGTGGTTAGAAGTGGGGTATATATAGCGGTTTTTTTTAGTAAAGTTTTACTGTACATTTCATATACGCATGTACCCACTGGCAATCCTGGCAATTGCAGCCCTTTTAACTACGCCCTAGAAACCAGCGACGTCGCACGACCAGTCCCATTAGGTCAAGATAGGTCAGATTAGGTCAGTGCCGAGTGGAGTGGGGGTAGGGGTAGCAACAACAGAAGGACAGTATGGTGTGAATGTAATAAGACGTCGCCGGACGTCCCATTGGTAATTATTGACGTCGTCATGACGTCCTAAGGACGACTTCTGGTTTCTAGGGCGGATTTACATCATCCATATGCAACATCCCCTCTATTAAACTTCTGATCTACAAACTTTCCCATGGTATAGGAAAACTAGATTATTGTTTGAGGGTTTGGAATTAGGTTCAGACCATTTCTGGCCGAGCGCCGCGGTCACATGTCCAAACTAGCGGCTGTAAAACCACGTGCGTGTAGGTCAGAAGTCTATTCTTATAGTCGATATGCGTAGGTCACAATTGTATTAAAGCGGAAGTGCGTAGGTCGTAAGATAAACGACCGGTAATGTTGATCCGCTCTACTGCCCATCCGTCCTATTGCTCATCCGCTATACTGCCCATCCGACCTACTGCAACATCTGACCTACGACAGCTGTAGGTCGGATGGGCATATCTTCTTGCCCATCCGACCTACATTCAGCAGCTTTTGAAGCATGACGGCCACTCAGTTTTGTAGGTCGGATGGGCACTTTTCGTAGGTCGGATGGGCTCTGTAGTCGACGTCGGTTGGTTATGTGGGTATAGCCTGCAGATAGATATGTACCCATGCATTAGATGTTTGCAGTTTCAGTTATAAACTCTATTTCTCTCTGAAATATTATTAATAAATCAGAGAATAATTTTTTTTAATGAGCATGTAAAATCGAAACTGTAATATGGCATACAGCCCTCGGCCATAGCCGTCAAACTATGGAATAGCCTGCCAATAGACATAATTAAGACTAGGACGGTCAAAATCTTTGGTAATTTCCTAGTATACGATTTTTGGACCCCCCCCCCGCCCCTCCCCCCTCCTATCAATTTTGTACATGGGTCTGACAATTAGTATTGGGAAGAAATGTAAGACAAATTTCAAAAAGACGACATTCAAATAAATTGGTTTCAACTTTCAAGTGTACACCTTAGAGATGCGCAGAATTTTTAATTTAGTTCACTGCGCTTGTTCCATTCTTTTACCCTAAATCAGCATGTCGAAGAGAGGTAAAAATTATTCTCTTTTCAAAATCCGTAAATATCTTTAGAATCAGAGCTTGTTTCATTAATTTGATGACGCTTAACGATAAATTGAATAAATAGAGATCATATCTAGTAGGCATAACCGAGAAATTAAATTGAACTTCGTATAATTATTTAGAATTTTATCAAAGAGGGTCTGTCCTAGTATACGATTTATTATTATTTATTTTTTTGTTATTTAGGGTTAGGTTAGGTTAAGATACTTTCTGGGCCGAGCGCTGCGGCTAGGATGGGCTAGGGGGCCGAAGTAGGTCGGATGGGCAGTAGAGGGGATGGGCGTAGTTCCAAAAATACACCATCTAAACGATTAATCATGCAATATTCTGAATGAAGACGACATTTAGCTAGGGACACGACTGTACAAAGGATATTATTCAACCAAACCAAATCTATTCAACTACTTCTTAAATTGTCCAAATTTCTGACAAAAACTCTTTCCAGGAATATATAATTAATTTCAAAGAGAACCACTATGGTGACATAACACGATGATATCATAAATGAAAGAATTGTTATAAGAACACGATCCAAGTTTGTGACAAAGATGGAAGAACATAGACGAGTTGCGGACTATTTCCTAATCTGTGGATTACCCCCGGATCCTGAAAATCAATCTGTTCTAAACGAGAGTAGTTTAGAGGTTAATCTTAAACCCAGTCATAATCAGGTAACATCATTTACTAGGGGGTTATAAACTAGTAAAGGCTTTTAGACCCCCGTCCTATCATTTGTGTGCGCGGGTATGCGTTTTACATGTAAAACATTGTGGAATTGGATTTCTCTTCAGCCTCTTCAGACACATTTTGCCCTGAAACTGAAAGGTCCATAAATAATAAAAAGATGTAAATACAAAACGGAAAATGATCTTTGTTTTAGAAATCAGATATAATTATAATGTGTTTGTTTAGGAGCCTATCACGGATATAACAGTAATATTTCCTGGACTGGGTGAGAATATACCAGATTACTATCAGCTGCTAGATACCACACCCTCAGGACTACCAGCAGATCTTAATCATGGATCATTTAGGGCACCAGAGGTATAATATACGCCATATAGTCATCCAGAGGTAAAAAATGCGCTATATACAATACACCCTATAATACACTTTACACTAGGGTGACACAAGAATGGGGTTAAAAAAATGGGCTGCATAGGTTATATGGGTGATGTGGCCCAGTCATCCAGTGGTATATTATACACTATACACAGACATCCAGGGGTATACTATACAGTATACAATCATCCAGAGGTAAAATATACACTATAATACATTATACCTATGCAGTCATCCAGAGGTTTATTATATACTACTTTCATTCAGGGGTATAACATACACTACACAGTCATCCAGAGGTATAGCATACACTACACAGTCATCCAGAGGTATAACATACACTACACAGTCATCCAGGTGTATAACATACACTACACAGTCATCCAGGGGTATAACATACACTACACAGTCATCCAGAGGTATAACATACACTACACACTACACAGTCATCCAGAGGTATAGCATACACTACACAGTCATCCAGGGGTATAACATACGATTATACAATAAACGATAATATTATACGAGTTTTTATCACTCAGTCACATTATAAACACTTTGCAGTATAAATACAGTCATCAGGTATGAATGAAATAAATTTATTCATTTAGAGGTAAATTATACCGTCATCCGATTTTTTCAACTTTAAAGTTTTGTAAGAAAACAAATTTGTAATACAAAAATTATATTTTTAATTTTAGTATTTTCTCTTTTGAGAGAAATAAGTATTTCTTTCACGTTTTTTGGCTTTTGTTTTTGATGATCTATACCGTAGAATTATATAATTGTTCAGGCGTTTATTTGTTTCCGCCGCGGCGTGGATAAACCGCCGCTGGTTGATCTTGGTGTACTGTATGAAGGGCGGGAAACCCCTAAACCTGGATTCCAGCTGGTTTATACACCTAGGGGTCACACAGCCAACGTAAATAATTCCACCAGCTCTCCAACATACATAGTTTACAAGTAAATATTCATTTACGTCTTACGAATATTTTGCTTTGTTTTATATTTTTAACTATTTATTTTCCTTTTAGGAACACATGTTTTAGGACATGTGTTAATTTTGGTTCAAATCTAGAAATTTAATTTTTCTTTTAATCTTTCATTTGTTTACTACAGTGATAATCAGAAAACTCTGGAATAGAAAGATGACTTTTAGAATCAAGTTAGGACTTGAAATAGTCCAATGAGCATAAGACACAGCGAGTGTGCAGTGTAAACAGACCCATTTCACCAAATTAGTGAATTGATAAGTGTCTGGTAAAATTATTTGCTTTGTGACAACATCAAATACATCTTTAGTATTGCTATAATGCCGTCTTACTATTCCATTGTTTTCTGGTATTACTGTATTCTTCTTTACAATATTGTCTTTATTATCATTAATAGAATGACTTCTTCCCACAATTGTGTAATATGACTGAAAATGTTTAACAAATGTTCCGAAAAATGGATTTTGACAGCAAATAAGTCAAAATGGGTCAATTTAAATGGTTTTCAGAGTCCATTTAATGAAGAGTTTAGACGTAATTTCAGGCAAGGTAGGTAAGGCCATAAGAGAATTTTGTACTCAAAATACCCCAAATTCCGTTATATACAATGGATTCATTTTCGGAGGCTGTACAAGTGTATACTGGTTGTTTATAAACAATCGCAACCGAAACTGGACTTGAACCGAAACATGGAATTGAACCCAGTATTCAAACCTTATTAGCCGCAGTCCAGTGTTATAAAGTTACACATTGTAAACAGACTGCTAAACCAGTTTTTAACGACCGTTACTGAGTTCATTGTGTATTCCAGGATAAATTTGTGTACTGTAAATAAATTTTTTTTAGTCCACCGTTGATTTCAAGTGAATTTCCGTTTACACTTGAGTGGGATGTCCGATTGAAAGCTTCTGAATGAGAAAGAATTATATTTCCTGATTTTGAAAGTTGATTATTTTCAATTGTAGATTCTCTATAAAAATTACCTGCGGATTTCTTACTACAGAAACAATAGAGAATCTTGTCAAAAAATTGGAAAAATTACGATGTCGCACACTATTGATCAAATAACGGTTTAAAGGGTACCGTTGTGAGTCTAAATAGAGAGAAATTACAACTACAGTCTCATGTTTATTGATCTAGGAGAGCTACTGATAAATCTCCCTGTAACGAACTGGTTATAACAGAGCTGACTATTATTGTGACAAGTAAAGGAGAAGTTCCACCTCATTCCTTCCTCAAGATAGACAAGAACCTTAATAATAGTATGATAGGCAGCGCTGTATATCTCTGTTTCAAGAAATCTTTAAACAGGTTGGTTGGTTGGTTGGTTGATTGGTTGATTGATTGATTGATTGATTGATTGATTGATTGATTGATTGATATTGATATTGATATTGATATTGATATGATCTATTTAGACCTGAACATATCTCGATGCATCCTGTTCTTCTTGACAGATTTCCTCTCTCTAATAATCCTTCTTTTCCTCTTGAGGTATAGATACTTTATTACTGTAGGAAAATATGATTTGATTATTGATGGGATGGGGTGGGGATTGGATCGGATTGGATGAGAATGGGACGGGGTTTGATTGAATGGGATGAGATCCGATAGTATGAGATGGGATAGGAAGGGATAGAGGATGAGATGGGATAGGATAGCCCCCCCCCCCC